CCCCTCCCCCCGTACGGCACACACCATTCCCGAACGAGATTTACGCCCGTGATATTGCGTATTTTTTGGAGAAGTCCCGCGTAATACTGCCCGATTTTTCCGGTGGCTGCAATTTTTGGCAAAGCTGGAAACTATTGGTGTACAAATTTTTTATCGGCTACAGCGGACAGAGACTAGAGTGGACACACGGGCTTACGGCGGACAATTCGAGTTTCTCGCTTAAATAAAGAGAGCGAATTCTACAAAAATATATGCGGCAGACAATAATGTTGTCAGCCACAGGTGTTTTTCTTGCCTCTTTTTGTTTAGAATTTACTTCCTCCGCTCGTGCGCGAAATTTGAAACTATTCGCTGCACTACGCCATGTTTACTCTAGCTCCTATCTCCCTTGTATTTAGATTAATACGTTTTATAAAAATATTATACGTGGGTGTTGTACTCCTAAAAATTGTCCAACGGGATATTCTAGCGCGCACGTTACACGACGCGATGTGTTAAATGTTTGGAATTTTTTAAAATAATCCATAAACTGGTATAGAGAGGCATTGTTGTTCGGCAAAAAAGAAAAAAGAATGTTATTCGATTTAACGTCCATTATACATGTGAAATGTTTAGGAAAAAATATCTTGCGATATTATAATGATCACACGCAGCGGTTGCGGTAATGCAATCGCAATTCGCCATTACATTCGGAAACGGTTATTTTTAATTATTACGCGGTCCGTATCTTTCGACTTTTTTCCGACCTGTGCGTGCGCATGTGTGTGTAACTGTAGCCGCGCACCGCGTTCCAGTTTTTCGCGCGGAAAAACAGTAGACGGATGTTCATACGCATGTACCATTAAACGCGAAACATACGCGGTAAGTACCGCTTATTTACGAGGCGCGTGCGCTTCGAAATTCGTCGCGGAGAAATTAAGGGAATCGCGGAAATGTTAATAACGAGACCGTGGCTCACTCTTAATTCTATGAATAGCTCTTAAACTAATAGCGCGGACGCGAAGCAAATTGCGACGCTAATGCAATATCACGCAATTAATTATGTGCAATTAAAGTTACACGGCGAATGCTGTGTTGCTCCGAATGATTTGAGCATTAATCGCGTTGTGCGAGAGATCCGTTCGCGCAGAGAAATGCATGCTGCTTTACGAGTGAACGCGTTTTTATTTGCTTCAAGTGTTTTATTTGTCTCATATATCTACACATTAAGGTAGTTAGCTCAAAAACAGTGAAGTCACAGATCTTCTTGAAACTTGTAGCAAAATTAATTTAGGTATTAATACGTATGTGTATTAAATATGGGTTCGATTAACCATATAATTTCCGAGAAATTACCGCTTATAGTTTACTCTTTTTCTCGATATCTTACATGGCGCTGACAAAAAGTAACACGTAAACGCGGAATTTGTTAGCTGCAAATGACTTACAATAAGGATTAATATAAAAATTTGGGCAAAATTAATTGAATACTTACAGAAGTACATACTTCAGTCTCAGCGAAATTGACCATACATTATTAAAGTATGATTAATCAGCAAAAATAAGTTTGGCTTTTGCTTTTTCGTTCGCGACCATGCTTTGCGGATGTGACAACGTTGTATAGCTTAGCGTCGCATAGCGCTAATAGAGATGCGACGTTGCCACGATCTATAGTTCCGCGACTACAACACAATTCAGCATGTTTCTCTTTTTATCATTTCATTTATTTTATCGATTTTTACTATTCTGAGAATCAATAATGTTTAAAAATCTATTTTTCACTTTTACTTAAAAGAATTCATTGGTTGTTGAACCTTTTATTTAAAATCTAATTTTGACTACCACAGTTGGGAAACAACTACCTTAAGGAGACCAGACGTCCCGATTTTTTCGGAATAGTCCCGATTTTTCACCCTTTGTCTCAAATTTTTTCGTGTGCTATTCGGGACACCGATTTGTCATCATTTTCAATGATTGCTAAATAATTTTCGGATCTCTAATTTTACTCCCCTCCCTCCGCCCTCCGCTTCACATATTTATGAAGTGTCCTAAATTTAGGGCTAGGAAATCTGGTTACCTTACATATACCGCGAGGAGAAACGAGAAGATTACTTACAAATGACGTCTTCACGATACGCCTTGGCGATCACACATCGCTATTCTCGACACTCCCGGATACTTATTTCCGCGCAAGACTTACTTTGAGATACTTCTCTCTCCGTATCTCTTTTCCTAACAAGCTGACGCAACCGCCCGAATATTCCGCATCTCTTTCTCTTTCCCTCTGATTGTCATCGTATTTCTAATTCCCGTTCAATAAACCCGACGACCGCCCGATTCTATTGCTACTTGAGCGAGTCGATGTTTTTAACAAATGTAAGGGACGTCGGCGCGACACGTCATGACAAGCACCGGCCGCATATACCGCGAGGAGAAACGAGAAGATTACTTACAAATGACGTCTTCACGATACGCCCCGGCGATCGCACATCGCTGTTCTCGACACTCCCGAGACTTATTAACGCGCGAGACTCACTTTCGACGCGAGAAACGCGGAGCGATGTGGATCGATGTGTGCCCATGGTTGCTGCTTGGCGCGAAAAGATCGAGCATTTTGCGCGATTCATTACCAATGCCTAGATTGAATAACCACGATGACAACCTCGTAATACGAAACGAACGCGATTGGTCCAGAGTGATTAGTAGCTCGAGCAAGTGGTTAAGGCGTTCGCCGCGGCGCGCCGTACAGATCGCGTCGTATAGACGCGCGACCTCGTTCGCATCACTGCCGCGTTCACATTCATGCACTTTTGGCACTTTCGACACGCTAATGAACTTTTGGTGTAAGTGAATGACAGCGCGCGCGTCTGCGATCTTTTCATGCCGAGCAACTGCCATAGACACAAAGCTCCATTTTCCATACTCTTTCGCTTGTGTCCTGTGAGTCTCTTGCGGAAATAAGTAATAGAGTGTTGAAAACAACGACGTGCGTACGTCAGGACGCATATCGTAAGTACATTATTACGGAGTAATCTCCTCCCTTCTCGACACATACAGTTACGGTAGCCAGACGTCCCGATTTTTTCGAGACAGTCCCAATTTTTTACCCTTTGTCCCGAATTTTTTCGAGTACTATTCGAATTGGGATTTGTCATCATTTTCAATGATTGTCAAATAATTTTCGAATCTTTTTATTTTTCTCCCTCCGCCCTCCACTTCACACATTTATGTCCCGTAGAAATTTCCCGTATTCAAAACTGGAAAATCTGGCACCTTAATACAATCGCAAATCTGATCATATGAGTTTGTCATAAGCATCAAATTTACTATATTCTGAATTCTAGTGAGAGTTTAGCATTGTAATCGAGAACATTCAAGTAAAACAAAAATTCGATTTGCTTATCGCATGAAGACGAATTAACGTTTTTTTTTTCCACAATGTATTACAATATTCTGAATGATAAATGAATTCTGAAAAATAAATTCTTCTTTTGAGTACATGATAATGAACTCTTCAAAAATCTGTGGTGAATACATTTCGAAACTATTAAAATTTTGTTTCTCGGAGATAACCATTGCTCAGAAGAAGGGAAGTAAACTGCGGTTTTCTTAGCAGTAGAATGACATTTGTTAGTATGCGTGTGCAAATAGGAGAGTCGCGGAATAATTTATCCGTAGCATAAAAATGGGCGGTTTCTCTCTATCCGTGTTGGCGTAATTGTTGTCTGAATTAAACAAAAAAAAAAACGAAAAAAGGAGAGAGAAATGCTTCTCTGTTCTTTATTTTTAACGGATGCGGTCAAAACGTGGAATCGCAAGCGCCGAACAGCCATCGAGAGCGACTTCCGGGCATTCGAGAGCGGTGAATTCGAGCATTGTCCCGCAATTTTTCTTTCTCGGCGCACGTGTGCGATGTTTCGCGCCACGCCGCACGCCGGACAGAGAGGGAACGCTGCATAGTTAAACGTGATACGTGCGCGGTAAGCCCCAGCTATCTACTGCGTGTACCCGGCTGTTTCCAACTTCGCCGCCGCGACAATTAACGAACGGGCCGACCGGCCGAGCTATCGTACAATTCGCCGCCGCGGTGCTGCGATTGCGCCCGCGGGTGTCAAAACGAGACGGTATGAGAATTCCCGAAATCGAATGAGCGAGACAACGGCAGCCAGAAGGTGGATCGACAGAAGTCGAAATTGTCGAAGGAGAAAAGTGGCGCTTGGTAAGCGTATCTTGCTGAAAAAAAAAGAAGAAGAGAGGAAGAAGCGAATATTCGACTTGTGTGCTCGTTGATTTTTTCTTTTTATTTCTTTTTCTTCTTTTTTCCAGTATCTCGCTGCTACGCCGAGATAGGGTGATGTGGGTGGCTATGCCAGAATTTGGATACGCCTCTGTATATTCAACGTTTTGCACGCGTGGAGACGATTGCGATCGATAGTGTCGCTCTCCGATATCGTGTGTACGAAGGATACTGCGTTCTCTTCGGTAACCGTCGCGCTTTTGATCCCCGGGGGAAAAATAGTTACTCGTGAATTTTGTTTCTATATAACAATATCACATATAATTTGCACAGGGTATGCC